CTGTGACAGTGCAGACGTAGGACCGGAAAGTCCTGGCGGAACCGCTTGCGGAGCTGGAGACGGACTGCGCGGATCCAAGGGATCAAGACATCAACGACCTGACCCTTGCTGGGCAAGGGGAAGACCGTGGTGTACCGCGTGTAGTCGTCGACAACCAGCAAAAAGTAGCGCTCGCGGCCCTGTCCACTGACGCGGGCTGGGCCCCACACGTCCATGTGGAGAGTCTGCAGGGGAGCAATCGTCGGTGGAAATGAGGAGGAGTGAGGAGTGGCGCGCTGCCGCCCCTCGACGCAAGGAAGGCAGGGCGGGGCAGGCGAGGGCGGGAGGGGAGGCAGAGACCTGGGAAGACCAGAGACGAGGAGGCGGGAGTGCATGGCACGAAGGCGTGGCAGGGAGGGTTGACCCAGGCGGTGGTGCCATAGAAGAGTCTGGTGCAACAGGAGGCGACATGAGCAAGGGGGTGCTATCTGACCTGACGCAGACACCTGAGCAGACACAGCTACTTGAGGAGGCTCGGCAGCCAGTGTGTAGAGACTCGACCCTGGGTGACGAGTGAACGTGGCCAGGTGACGGCCCGTCCATGTATTTGTGCAGTTCGACACACGCTGACCCCCAGGAGTGGTTGTGGTGACCATCACGTCCTGGAGGGCAGCGGTACTCACCAAGTTCGTAGAGAACGAGGGGAGGTGAAGGCTTGACAGTGAGCCGGACGGAACCGCCGGACACGGGAGCACAGTGGAGGAACGGGCGAGGACTGTGCCCCCGGAGGGGTCAGCCAGCCTGACTGGTACAGGTGCAGAGAGAGGAGTGAGGGTGGTGCTGTCGCGAAAGAAACAACGTGAGGCACCTGAGTCAAGTGTGAAGGTGTGCAAGGCCTGAGCAGGTGCAGTACCAGGGAGAGAAGACTCACTAGCACCTAGAGCAGCAGCCTCTATACCTGGGTCAGGCGGCACACACAGATATCAGTCACCCTCAGCAGTAACAGACAAAGCATACATAGCAGCAAGGATAACATCATAGTCTAGGTCAAAGATAGCAACTCCAGACCTAAGCAGCTCTGCCCAGCGGGGGCGCTCGGCCTCGTCACCAAACTCTGCGCGCCAAGCGACGTCGAGGCGGGAGAAGCAGCGGTGTTGAATGTGAGGCTTCCCGCATGTCTGACCAGCACGGTCACCCGTGCGAATGACATACGGGCAGCTACCACTACCCCCAGACGCCCCACGCTGAAACAACCAGTCACGAAGCTGCTGGGGCGACGGGGTCTCGCTCTGACGCTGCTGCTGCTACCTCTGGCCACTGCCAGAACCTCCACGCTGAGCTCCAGTCCTAACGCCACCGCTCCCACCGCTGCCACTACCGCCACTCCCACCGCTGCCTCCACCACCGCCACCAAAGCCCCCACTCCCACAACCACTCCCACCACCGCCACCACCTCCATTGCCTCCACCACCTCCACTGTTGCCCCCACCACCATCCCTGCTGCCACCGCCACCACCCTTGCCACCCTTGCCCTTGCTGCTGCGGCGCTTCCCACTAGCAGAAGCAGCCCCGACATCCTCAGCACCAAGGACGTCAACAGCAGGAGCAGAGGCGTAGGAGGGGGCAAGGGGGGAGGGGGAACACCCCTCAAAGAAGGGCGTGCGAGGAGGGCCACGAGCGGCACCTACAGCGAGTACACTAGTCTCAGCTGCAAGGAGGTGCTGCACGAGTAGGTCAACAGTGAGGGCTGTGGGGTCAAGTGCGAGAAAGTGGTCCCTTACAACGCGAAGAGAGTCAGGGAGGCGGGTGACGAGTCGGGGCCTAGGGGCGACGGGCGACGAGCCGGGGCTAGGGGCGACGGGCCGGGGCCTAGGGGGGGGGCGTCGGGCCAGGGCGGAGGGGGCGTTGGTCGACAGGTCGGGGCTTGGGGCGGCGGGCCTAGGAGCGACGGGCGTCGGGCCGGGGTCCTAGGTGCGACGGGGGACTGGCCGGGGCAACGAGCCTAGGGGCGACGGGCTGGGGCGACGGGCCTAGGGGCAACGGGCCGGGGCGACGGGCATAGGGGCGACGTGCCTAGTGGCGACGGGCCTAGGGGCAACGGGCCGGGGCGACGGGCGTAGGGGCGACGGGCCGGGGTGACGAGCCTAGGGGCGACGGGCTGGGGCTAGGGGCGACGGGCCTACGGCCGACGGGCCGGGGCGACGGGCGACGGGCCGGGGCGACGGGGCCTAGGGGCGACGGGCCTAGGGGCAACGGGCCGGGGCGACGGGCGTAGGGGCGACGGGCCGGGGCGACGGGCCTAGGGGCGACGGGCCGGGGCTAGGGGCGACGGGCCTACGGTCGACGGGCCGGGGCGACGGGCAACGGGCCGGGGCGACGGGCCTAGGGACGACGGGCCAGGGCTAGGGGCGACGGGCCTATGGTCGACGGGCAGGCCGCACGAGGGCGGGGCGCTGGGCAGCAGGTGCGGCACGAGGGTCGCTAGGGGCGGCTAGGGGGGGCAGCGCTGTGGTGGGCCCAAAAAAAATATCGGTCCAAACGAAGGACCTGCTTTGAAACTATGTCTGAACAAGAATGAATGAACTATGAAAGCGTTGGGTACAAGTACTAACCCTAATTGGGTTGTACCCCTTATGGGCTACCCCAGTATAGCCTACACAACTGTAAGCACTAGAACATTATGACAAATAATTCCCGTAGTAGGGTGTAGCCCGGTACCCAGATCCTATCGATGCCGTCTTTTACGTAATACGCCACCTTTGCTGCTGCGAATTGCTGTGAACTTCCTCCGGTGAAGAACGGGTTTGTTTGGTAGCCGTGAGTAAATAGTCCTTTAAGCAGTGGGCTGGTCTGGGCGAGTAGTATGGCGTGAATTTGTGCAGTGGGGCGGGTCAGTGCGCCAGCGATGTTCGATGCCCCCTTTTTGTAGGTGACCGTGTAGTAAAAATTCGACTTGAGAAAGTCGAGCGAACGAACCTTTCGTGGGTTGAGGTGGGGCTGTGCGCGGAGGTATTGTAGTGATTTATGGTCCGTCCGTACTGTCACGTATGCGCCGGTCAAGTAACAGCGCCAAACTTTGAAGGCTTGCACGATCGCGAGCATTTCGCGGTCGTGCATCAGGTAATTTTTCTCCGGCAGATGCAGGTTTCGTGGCTCGTATGCGATGGGCTGTAGGCCGTTGCCGAAATCTTGTAGCAGTACGGCTCCGATGGCGATGTTGCTTGCGTCTGTAACTACTTTGAATGGGTAGTGTGGGTTGGCAATGCGCAGTATGGGCGGTGAACAGAGAACTGTTTTCAGGGCAGAGAAGGCAGTATGCTCTTTCTTTCCCCGCGTAAACGCCACTCCCTTCCGCAACAAATCTGTCAGCGGGGCCGTTAAGCGCGCCATGTCGGGGACGAACCGACGGACGTAATTAACGAACCCTAAAAAACTCTGTAGTTCCGTGATGTTGGTCGGGGGACGCCACGCTTTTACGGTGTCTAACTTCTTCGGGTCAATTTCGACTCCAGCCTCTGAAATAACGTGCCCCATAAATTCTAGCCGGTCTTGAAAAAACTCACTCTTCGAACCCTTGGTCAGTAGGCGATTCTGGTCTAGGATATTAAACACTGCCTCTAAATCCGTCAGGTGCTACTGCTTGTCGTGGCTGTAGACCAGGACATCGTCGAGGTAAACTGTCACGCGTTTATCTAAAAGTGGTCTAAACGCTCCGTTCATGGTCATCTGAAAAGTGTCATGTGCATTGGTCAGTCCAAATGGCACCACCGTGTACTCGAAGGATCCGTATCTAGTTCTAAAAGCAGTCTTGGCGCATTCCGATGGTTCGACCCAAATCTGATGGTAACCTCCTCGTAAGTCAATTTTCGAAAAACCCTGTGCTGTTCGCAGTTGATCTATCAGTTCGTCGGCGCGAGGGATGGGATATCGCGACTGGACTATTACCCTGTTCAGTGCTTGGTAGTCGATACACATGCGAAACCCCCCGTCTTTTTTCGGTGTGAACAGTATCGGTGCTGCGAACGGTGACGAGCTCGGTCGGTTGATTTTTTTCTCTAACAGGTAATTTAACTGCTTCCTCAGTTCGCCGAGCTCGGGCTGTGTCAATCTGAACTGTCGCTGTACGGTTGGCTGTGCCCTCGGCTCTAGTCCTATGCGGTGGTCATGTGCTCGCTGAGGTGGCAGTCCCACTGGTAAGTCGTCCGGAAAAATCCCCGGGTACCATTTCAGTAATTCCTGCAACTCGGGCGGTACGGCTGCCAGTAGTTTCCGAAAATCACTCGGCTGCTCCTCTTCTCCCACCAACGCAATGTCCACCACGTACACTTCAGCTCCAGCGGAAACAGCCAGTTTCATGGTGATGGCGTTGACGTGGACCGTTGAAGACTCGAGTGACCGCCAGCGAGGTAGTTCGACCCAGTTACCACTACTTTGCACAGTGCAGCTACCCGTCGTCCAGTCAATTCGCGGGTTGTAGCGTCGTAGCCAATCACGCCCCACTAAAATGTCGTGCCCATCCAATGTCGTCGCGAGCATTTCCAGTGTAAACCCGAAGTTTCCCCCGCAGCGAAATTTCACCTCTCCACGTTTTCCCGTATGGCCAGTGGCGTGCACCCAACTAAACGTGCGTCGATCTCCGGTAAAAAGCGGCTAAGTGTGAGTTGCAGTTTCCGTGCAGTTGCGGTATTAACTAAGCTGTAACTTGCTCCTCTATCTATAAAAATCTTCACTGCTATCCCCTGTATTTTCCTGTGAATAAGCATTGGGCAATCCGTCGTTGTACCCTCCTTATTCACCCGAGCCCGATCGATAGCATGAATCGGTACTGTGACTCAGTGAGGGTCAGTGAGGTCGTGCGAGCAGTGAGTCTCGTCAGTAGTGGACCCAATCTCTACTAGCAATTGCCCGCTCGCGGCCCCCCCCCCCGCTCGCCACGCAAGGCGACGGGAGGGGCGACCTGGGGGGGCGCGCGTCGCCCCTTCTTCTGCCTGCTCTGGCGCCCTGGGAGGCCGCGCGTCGGGATGGCGGGGATGGCGGGGAGAGGGGGAGGAAACTTGGAGGTTCAGGGGGAGGCAGGAGGGGATCTGCAGCACCAGGTCCCCCACCTTTCTCCTACCTCCCCCTGCTGCGGGAGCAGCAGAGGGGGGGAGGGGACCTGCAGCACCTGCCCACCCCCCCCCCCCCCCCCCCCCCCCCCCCCCCTCCTCTCCGCCCTTTTCTCCTCTCCTTCCCCCTGCTGCGGGTGCAGCAGTGGGGGGGAGGGGATCTGCCATCCCCCTGGTGCGGATGCGGCAGTGGGGGGAGGGGACCTGCAGCACCTGCCTGCCCCCCCCGCCCCCCCCCCCCCCCCCCATCTCTCTGCTGCGGGTGCAGCAGTGGGGGAGGGTATGGGGGTGGCGGGTGTGGCCAACCCGCCAGCCCTGCTGCGCCCCGCGCGCCCTGCTGCCCTGTGCGCCCCGTGCGCCCTGCTGCCCAGCTGCCCTGCTGCGCCCCGCGCGCCCTGCTGCCCTGTGCGCCCCGTGCGCCCTGCTGCCCTCTGCACGCGCCATGCACAGCACCCCCCCCCCCCCTTTCTCCTCCATCCTCTGCTGCAGGTGCAGCAGTGGGGGGAGGGTATGGGGGTGGCGGGTGTGTGAACCGTCCCCTGCTCCTCCTCCTCCTCCGTCTCCCACTGCTGCAGCTGCCGCTGAGGGGGGTGGGTGTGTGGGAGCCGAGGGAGTGGTGCTATCGATCGGGCTGGGGGGGGGGGGGGGGCTGGTGCTGCAGATCCCCTCCTGCCTCCCCCTGAACCTCCAAGCTCCCCCCCCCCTCCCAACACAAGGTGCGGCAGGGAGAGAGAGAGGAGAAAGGGGGGGGGGGGGGGCTGATGCTGCAACTCCCCTCCCCCCACTGCTGCTGCAGATCCCCTCCCTCCCACTGCTGCACCCGCAGCAGGGGTGGAGGAGAAAGGGGGGGCGGGGGGGGCTGGTGCTGCAGATCCCCTCCTGCCTCCCTCTGAACCTCCAAGCTCCCCCCCCTCTCCCAACACAAGGTGCGGCAGGGAGAGATAGAGGAGGAGGCGCGGCGGCAGCTGCTGCTGCTGAGGCACATCCGCCACCCCCTCACACCCTCTCCCCCCCGTTTCCATGGAGGAGGGGGAGGGGGGGGAGGGGGGCGGGGGCGGAGCTGCGCGTGCGACTGCAGGGCACGCGGGCAGGAAGTCATTACCCCTCTTGCCATAGCTAGGGGCGACGAGGCCAGTGGGGCCGAGGGGCGCGGCTAGGTACGGGGCCGGGCGCTGGGCTAGGGACGGGGCCGGGTGCTGGGCAGGTACGGGGCCGGGCGGTGGGCAGGTACGGGGCCGGGTGTTGGGCGCGGAATGGGGCCGGGCGCGGGGCTAGGTACAGGGCCGGGCGCGGGCTAGGTACTGGGCCGGGCGCGGGCTAGGTACGGGGCCGGGCGCGGGCTAGGTACTGGGCCGTGCGCGGGCTAGGTACAGGGCCGGGCGCGGGCTAGGTACTGGGCCGGGCGCGGGCTAGGTACGGGGCCGGTCGTTGGGCGCGGAACGGAGGCCGGGCGTGAGGCTAGGTACGGGGCCGGGCGCTGGGCAAGGGACGGGGCCGGGCGCTGGGCAGGTACGGGGCCGGGCGTTGGGCGCGATACGGGGCCGGGCGCTGGCTAAGTACGGGCCGGGCGCGGGCTAGGTACGGGCCGGGCGCTGGGCGAAGGACGGGGCCAGGCGCGGGGCGACGTAGTCGACGGGGCCAGCGGGGCCGAGGGGCACAGGTAGGGGCGACGAGGCCAAGGGGCCGAGCCTAGGGGCTAGGGGCGACGCCAAGGGGCGACGGGCCGGGGCCTAGGCTAGAAGGGCATTAGGTGGTGGGCCCATTAATGTGAGGTCCTAGGAACTATTGCTCTTAATACCATGTTAGAATAGTAGTGACTTAGGAACCATGGCTAGTGAGTGTCGAGAGAGTTGAGTGTCGAGAGAATTGGAAGGAGAATGTGTGTTTCACTATAGAAAGTTGGGATACAAATAGCAAACCCTAAATTGCGTTGTACTCACTACAGAGTACCCCACTGCAGGCTAAACAATAAATATATTATGACAGATCGTCGCTGCAAATTTGACGTGACAGCGGGCTTCGCGAGGCCCATTCGTGGTTGGTGCGGCCGTGTTTCTCTCCATGCCAGGCACTGACTGGGCGGCGCCATCACTGGCTGCACATGTGCGCTGTCCCACGATGTCGTGTTGTGACGGTGTGCTGGACGAGATAATGATCGGCTCATCCGATTGCGCAGGTGCATTTGCAGATGTCGATGTTGGTGTTGGTGCATTCGCCGTTGATTGCTGGCGGGCGGAGTCGCGTTCCGCTGTGAGTGTCACGATTTCGAGCCCCGAATCTTCGAGTTGGCGTACCAGCCGGTCGGGCTGCTCCTGCGTCAACATCGCGAGATTGAGTTCGGCCATGGCGGGGGTGTCGGGCAAGCTTAGCGAGAGCCTCAGTCGTGGCCGTGCGTGCTTACGAGAGAGCACTCCAGCAACGGTGCTTGGTCGCTGAGAGACATCTTAACCCCTCCTGAAGTTGAGATAGTGGGGAAGCGAAGGTGTGGGTGCGGTCCGAGAAGAGATCGTAGGCTCGGAATACCAAGTGTTACGAGTGCAATTGAGCGAGCGAGCGAGAATTGCACTATCGAAGCAAAACAGTACAATGAGGCATGAGCGAACAATATATAGCGAAGCTAGCATGATAACAGTAACGCGAGAAAATGGTGTGCGTGTCAAACTAACGAACGAGAAATGAATGAACTATGAAACAGTTGTGTACAAGTACTAACCCTAATTGGGTTGTACCCTTTATGGGCTACCCCACTATAGACTACACAAATGCAAGCACTATAATATTCTGACACACCCCCATAGGCAAAGTGGGGGAGAACAAGTGGTCACAAGACCAGTCAAGAAAAACAAAGTAAGCTCAGGGTGGATCACAAAGTCACCACACAGTCCGAGCACAAGCAAAGGGCCACAAGGCCAGTTCACATGCAGAGTTATATAAAAGAGAACAAACAATACAGTGATCATACCCTAGCAAGTGTAAGCATGCAGGTATATATATACATCACAGTACAAGCAAAGTCACGCAGTGAGCAAGTGAGGCAAAGTAGGCACAAGGCCTAACACAATAGAGAAGCGCTGATGATCACCAGGCGGAAGTGCCTTGGCGAATATATCAGCAGTGTTGGCCCTAGTGGCCACGTACGCAAGACGAAGCTGGCCACACTGCTGCAACTCTCGAGGAAGGAAGCATCGCAGAGCGATGTGCTTTGTTCTGTGCTCCAGTCTGTGCTCCTGACACAAGGCAATCATGGCCTTGTTGTCTACGTACAGAAATGGAGGCGAACGAGGCTGCTCTCCCAAGTCAGTCAGCAGGTAGGTGAGCCAGCGTAGCTCCTGTGCAGCCATGGCCCCTGCGTAGATCTCAGCCTCACAACTGGAGCTGAGAACCGAAGACGAACGGGTAGACCGCCAGGAAACAGAGTCGGAACCGAGGCTGAAGTTGTAACCCTGTGACGACCGCTGCGTAGCTGAGTCGTCAACCCAAGAAGCGTCTGCGTGACCAGTGAGGACAACTAGACTCCGTCCTCCAAGCACGAGCCCCATGCCTGTCGTATTGCACAAGTAATACAGTACCCTCTTCGCAGCATCCCAGTGCACCTTTCGGTGCCTGCCGGGAGCCACGTAGCGAGCCAAGAGGCTGAGAGGGTACGCGAGGTCAGGTCGTGTGCACGTCATCAGGTACATGAGGCAACCCACAAGCTCTGGGTACGGACACCTCGGCTCTACGGACTCGTCCGAAGGTGGAGCTGAGAGCGAGTGGCCGGTAGACAGAGGAGTGGGCTGTGGCGAGGAGAACTGGAAGCCGAAACGCTGAAGGACCTGGTGCACCATGTGTGACTGAGTCAGGGTGATGGTGCGCCGTGCTCTGTCCCAGGTGATCTGCAAGCCAAGATAGCTGCGCAGCTCACCCAGGTCAGTGCAGGTGTGTCTCTTCTGCAGCTCCGACTTCACAAGGGCCAGTGACTGAGTGTCAGCAGTCGCAAAGACCAGGTCGTTGACGTACATGAGGACGTAGAACGGCGGCAGCGAGATGTCGGTGCGTAGAAACAGCGACGGGTCAGCAGTAGAATGAGTAAACCCCAAAGCCGCAAGTGTAGTCCTTAGTGTGTCGTGCCACTTGCGAGGCCCCTGGCGGAGACCGTAGACTGGCCGCCGGAGGCTCCACTGGGTACCTGTAGGAAACGACCCAGTGAAGCCAGGTGGGTGGCGCAACCAGATCTCCTCGTGCAGGCTGCCCTGCAAGAAAGTTGTGCTGAAGTCGAGAGAGTGCAACTTGTAGTCACGCTGAGCAGCGACGTGCAGCAACACCCGAAGAGTGGTCATCTTCGGGGTGGGGGAGAAGGTCTGGAAGTAGTCGACCCCCTGTCGCTGACTGAAGCCTCTAGCAACGTAACGGGCCTTGAAGGCAGGCGGAGAACCCGGCGGGTGCGTCACCGTGAAAATCCACATGCCATCGACTATGCTCGCCCGAGACGGGGGAACTGCGTCAACGTAGGTGTCAGAACTAGCAGTAGAAAGTAAGAATGAAGAAAGGAGGAGGTTCACTAGCAAGCAGTTGGATACATATAGCAAACCCTAATTGGGCTGTACTCACTATAGAGTACCCCACTGCAGGCTAGACAATTATAACATTCTGACACACCCCCATAGCCAAAGTGGGGTGTAATCAGCACAACAAGCAAGCATAGTAATAGTTCACAATTATAAGCAAAGCTAGTGGTAGTCACAGCGGGCAAGTGAGGAGGAGGAGGGACTGTGAGAGGAGAGAAGATGAGAGACGGCGGCTGAAGCTGCAGACACATGGGCAACAGGAGCTACTGGCACAGTGGCTACCGGGACAGTGCGCCCCGGACTACTGGAGTAACTGGCTCACGGGCTACGAGGAGCTACAGGAGCAACGGACCCTCGGGCGACAGGCGCAGCAGACTCTCTGGGCTACCAGGACAGTGCGCCCCGGACTACAGGTGCTGCGGACGACAAGACAGCACTCTACGCTCAACCTCCTCCAACTGTCCCACACACCCCCACACACCCACTGCTTCACTCCTAACTCCACTTGCACGTCACCCCCCTAGTACCACTCCTTCGGCTCCCACACACCCACCCCCCTCAGCGGCAGCTGCAGCACTGGGAGACGGAGAAGGAGGAGGAGCAGGGGACGGCACACAGAAACTGCACCCCCATACCCCCCACCCCAAACCCTAATTCAGGAGAACGGGCAGCAGCAGGGGTGGGGCGCCGTCAGAAGCACGGGGGACAGCGGGCAGCGCAGGGGAAGAGGAAACAGGGCGCCCACGGGCCTGGCGCAGCCCGTACGAACCGCGTGCGGGCGGCCCGAGGCGCGCACTGGCCTGGCGCAGCCCGTACGGGCCGCGCGCGGGCCTGGCGCTGCCCGTACGGGCCGCGCGCGGGCCTGGCGCAGCCCGTACGGGCCGCGCGCGGGCCTGGCGCAGCCCGTACGGGCCGCGCGCAGGCTGTACGGGCCGCGCGCGGGCCCTACGCAGGTTGCGCAGGCCGCGATGGGCGACGGGGGGCGACGCGCGGGTCCCCGTCGCCCGTCGCAGCGCCTCCCGGGAGCGACGCGCGGAGTGACGGGGCAGAAAGCCGCCGCGCGCCTCGGGGCGCACGGCGGGCAGAAAACCGCCGCGCGCCTCGGGGCGCACGGCGGGCAGAAAACCGCCGCGCGCCTCGGGGCGCACGGCAGGCAGAAAACCGCCGCACGCTCCGAGCGCGCGGCGGGATGAAAAATTCGTCGCACGCCACGGG